GGGGGCGGGGCCGGGGCCGGCGGGGCCCGCCACTCCACGCAGAGCCCCTCACCTCTCTCCGGGCCGGTGATCCCGCTCCCTCTCCCGCTAGCGAGGCGCCACCTGGGCCCCGGCACCCGGGCCCTCCGCCCAGGACCCAAACAAAACCCGAGCGCCGCGGTGCCGGGACCCCGCTCTGCCAGGAAACAAGAAGTCTCTCGCCTATTGGCCGCGGGGACAGCTGGCTACCCGCCCAGTAAAGCTTGCTGCCATTGGTCAGCACGCCGGGGTTCCCTCGCACGTTTAGCGGGTACCTGAGCCTGGGCAGCTTGGGGGCTCGGCCCCCAGGCCTGGCGTGAGGGCTCCACTCGCGTCTTCTCGGAAGACGGTTAACGGCCTGCCCACCCAGAGGAGGAGAAGACAAAGTGAGCAAGGACATTGGAAAAGACTCACCTGCAAAATAAAAGGACCGTGTGTAAAGCTAATCATTGGCTACCAAGCTTATCTGTGTACTACAGCACACCCATCCGGTTCAGTAGCTCTCCCCAGGTTTGCGGATCCTACAATGCGCGGGAAAAAAACAAAGTGGAGGATGCGGGCATCGATCCCGCTACCTCTCGCATGCTAAGCGAGCGCTCTACCATTTGAGCTAATCCCCCAGCTGGTGTCGACTTCGTTTCCTTTGCCTTACAGGTTTTTCTGGGGTGTACGCTGACCATTGGACTCACCACAATACAGTACATTCATTTACCGTCGGCAAGATTTTTTAAACTATATATATGCAATAATAAAGCTCTATTTAAAAGCACAGGTTAACATTCCTTTGGATGTAACCCACAACAGGTTACCTATGCCTTGACTACTTAACTGCATTATATGTTTCACGGAACATTGGCGGTGCTCATGCAAATGAACAATGGACTTTCGTTGTAAAGCTTTCCTCCCATGAAAGGGAGGAATGTTAAAAATTTCACGCGAAGTCCTTCGAGCCGGAATCGAACCAGCGACCTAAGGATTGCCAAGGTTTGATACACTACAGTCCTCCGCTCTACCAACTGAGCTATCGAAGGCCCCGGCTCTCCAACGGCCCGGAGACTGTCCTCTAATACTTACTGAGGCCGTACTATTCCAGGGTCTCAATAATTTGGGGGAATCCTGGTCTCCATCTTCAAAAGGAGCTCGCCTGAGCGGAGTTCCTCCAGTCTACCAAGAACAGATGAAGCCGGAGACAGAAGTGAGAGCAAATGATGTTGCCAAAAGACCCACTTTCCAGCCCTGGTGGAGGGAAACACGGGCAATAAACTTCTCTTCCGTTTCCTTGCTTTTTACAAAACGATACCCACAACCTCCACCCGCCGTGGCTACAGGAAAGGCGGACGCTTAGAGACGGCCCACAAGGCTAACTCTGGGCCGCGTTTCTCCAGCGGGGCCGGTACGCACACGAGCTGTACAATCGCCAAGCGCATGCCGGTTTGCAAGGCGGACGGCGTATTCTCTATCTCTGCTCCACATTTCCCTCCGGCATCTCCAGGGGCGCCAATAAAATCCTACTGCCCTCCTGATGTGAAGGACATTCATTTCTTCAATTAACCCACACTTTGTCAGGATCTCTTTCTCCTATGAACAAGAAAGATACAAACCACCGAGCTCCTGGAGGCGGGCCGGGCGGCGCAGGGCGCGGGTTGCCCCGGATTAGCGACTGCGGGCGGGGCCCTGGACCGGGCGGAGAGTCCCGGCAGCTGGCATCCACTCGGCCTCCGCTCTGCCCGCCTCACACCTGCATCTCTCTTTCCAGGCGCCTGGCATGCCAGTCGACAATACTTTGCCTACGAAATCTCCCGGGATTTTAAAACAACAACAACAAAAAGCCTAAAACCCAACTCGTCTATGGAGCTTTGCCTCACAGTGTGGCGGAGTGGGTGTGCGGGGACGCCTAGTCTCCATTGCCAGCTCTGCGGCAACCTCCTGTGCTACCTGGAGTCACAGTCGCCCTGGGCAAATCCAGATCGGGCAGGGGATTCAAGCCCCTTGAAGCTCCAACGTTTTATGGGTTTTCTCAGCCTGAGCTTTGTTTGTTATTTCAGGCTGAGCTTTAAATCCAAGTTTTCTGTTGTCACAGAACGGGGTTCATTCACAATTGCGTCCATCCACAAAGCAGGAGGTTAACATCTTCCCATGTATTTCTTGATTTAACTTCATTTCTGCTGCTGCAAATGCTACCATGTGTGCGAGAGCGTTAGCTTGGTATAGTTTTCTTGGAGCGGCGTTTAGCGCGCGCGCTATCTCACTCCTCTTTCTTGAGGGAGTCAGGGGTAGAAGAACATATTTAATTGTTTTTGTTTGTTTGTTTGTTTTGAGTAAAAGTCACATAACACAGTTAACTAAAGTATGAACAATTCAGTAGCATTTAGTGCATTCACAATGTTGTATAAACGATTACGTCTCTCTAGTTTCGAAACTTAAAAAAAAAAAAATCACCCTAGAACACTCTGTACCCTTTAAGTAATCACTCCCACCCCTACATCCCCCAGCCCCTGGCAACAACTAATCTGCTTTCTGTCTCTACGGATTTGCCTATTCTGGAAACTTCATATAAAGGAACTCATAAAATATGTGACATTTTGTATCTGATTTCTTTTATTTATCATAATGTTTTCAGGGTTCATCCAAATTGTAGCATGTATCAGTACTTCATCCCTTTTTACTGCTACATAATATTCCATTCCTTTGTTTATCCATTCTTCTGTTGATAGATGTTTGGCCTATTTCCACATTTTGACTTCAATGAATAATACTGCTATAAACATTTGTGTTAAAGTGTGTAGATACACTTTTTCACTTCTCTTGGGTGTATTCCTAGAAATGGAATTGCTGAGTTTTATGCTAATTATATGTTTCACTCTTTGAGGAACCACCAAACTTTTCCACAGCAGTTGAACAAATTTACATTACCACCACCAATGTCGGAGGGTTCCAGTTTCTCCAGATTCTTGCCAACACTTTTTGTATTTTTTTATTATAGCTGATGTTTCAATAAAGTGAACTCAATTAATAAGCATTTTCCTATGACATTAAAGATTCTTTGAAATCACAATTTGAATAGCCATTTGCCATCTTTTACTTTATACCAAAATTTATTGAAATATTCATCTTATTGTTGGACACAGTTTAAATCCAAATTCTCACTATTAATACTGCTACAATAAATCTTCTTGTATATAAATCTTTGTCCTATTTCTGTTTACTTCTCTATCTCTAGAATACAATCATAGGAGTGGAATTACTTGGTTAAACAGTATGAAACTTTTAAGGCTTTTGATAAATATTACCAAATTACTTCCCAGAAACATTATACTAATTTCTATCATAGCATTCACTGAGCATAGTATCACTTAAAAAAAAAAAACTTTGTTAACATGATAGGCAACAGTAAGTGGCATCTTATTTTAAGTTTGTACTTCATCAATGAAATGAACTTTTCTTTTTCCAAGTCTATTGTTCATTTGCATTTCCTTTATGAATTGTCTTTTATCCATATTTTTATTGTTGTTTAGTGCTTTTCTTACTGACTTGTAAGAGTTCTTTAACATTAAGAATGTATTTATGTAAGCTCAGTAAAGAAGTGGAGCCTTGATCAACGTATCAACTAGACCAAACACACCTACACAGAACATTCCGCCTAACAGCAGAATACACATTCTTCCCAAGTGTATACATGGAACATTCTCCAGAATAGTGCACATGTTAGGTAACAAGTCTTAATAAATATTAAAAGATTGAAGTCATACAAAATCTGATTAATGTTAACTATAGACTTCAGGTGATCGTGACGTGTCAGCATAGGGTCACTGATGTTGGCAGTGGGGGAAGTTGTACAAGTATAGAGCAAGGGGAGTGTACTTCTTGCACAGTTTTGATGTGAACTTAAAACTGCTGTAAAAAATAAAATTTATTAAAACATCAATAACTTCTGTGCTAACAGTGAAAAATTATAGCAAGACATGTGTCTGAATTCAATGTTTTTATTAATAGGGAGAATATTCACTATTCAATTAATACTCACTCATACCCTGAAAGGTAAAAGCTCCCCCTGCCTGCCCCCAAATTCCTTCTTACACCTCAAGTCTGGACAATGAAAGTAAAAACGGAATGCCGCGTAGGGAAATGCAAGGTCCTTTGTCCCTTCAGGTCCTTTTGGGAGCAGAACCATGAAGATTATGTAGAAAAAGGATGAAATCACTTTTAAGTGTTCACTTAAATCCAAACTCCTTTAGGAGAGATAAGGTATATTAAAATACTCAGAGGTCATCCAACCATGGAAATTTCTGTGTAATTGAACAACTGAGTCATTCTGGAATAGGGCAGGGCAGGCATGCCCATCTCTGTGAAACACTCCATTCTAAGAGCGGTGGCATTGAGAATGGACGGGCAATGCCGCAGGTGAGTCCAGCAACATTATCTATCCATACTAAGTCGGGCTCCCCAGAAAGCTGCCCTGCTGTAAAGCTGAAGCTGTGTGCTGGGTACAAGTAGCCAGAAGAAACCAAAACCATGCTTTAAGACTTAGAGAAATGTAAAGAAGTGTTCCTAATGAGTCGTGGTATAATTTGTGAGTCCATGTAAGAACTGGTAATAACTAAGTTGTGAGAGATAACCATATTCAAACTGCCCTTCAGTTACATATGATATGTTATCTGTAGAACTCCAGCTGTGTGTGAAAAGGAAAGTTAAAATGTCTAGACACGATCCTTGAGGTGTCAGTTTATTTCTGTTCTTACAGTAACTCCAACTGTCAGTGTACTCCACCGGTCCACACTGGTTCAACTCACTGGCTCAGCTTGGATCTCTGTTTGTTGACAGTTATGCAACAATGAAACATCTGGATGTCTGGTTTGACTATAACAGCCAGCCAGTACAGTGTTGGGACTACTGACAGAATAAAAATTAGGACAATTCCAGTATCAGATCAAACCACTCTATCGAATAAAGCTAATTAAAGGGGTCAGTGTCCCTGTGAGAGGCTGTGGAGACTCGAGTTAATCTGAGTTAAAGGAAAAATGTTGCACACTAAGATTATATGTCAGAAATTAAATGAACCCCAAAGGGAAAAACAGTACACACATTAGAAACCAGTGAAGCACTTGTGAGATTCTCTTGAGTTGCTGGATTAAAAGAATTCAGTCCAGCAGCCTTGGTTGGACTCAATGTCACTGTAGGACAGAGTGTCATCATTTTATTTGTCTGTGCTGGTGCCAATCTAGGCCCACATCAGCCCCCTTTCTTCAGCTTGCCTTGAATGCAGGCCAGTTACAAGGATTCACTATTCTTAGGAATTGAGTGCATCTGTTTCTGATTGGTAAGGAAGTACTGAGGCAATGGAACATGTTTCGGGACCCTTGGGCAGTCCTGCCTAGCAGTCCTGAACCTTGGTCCTTTGCCAGGCAGGGTTTTTTCCTGGGAAAAATAGTCATGGCTGACTGCCACGAGAAGAGCAGGGTTCTGCCCAACTTGGCAATGTGGTTATGTCCTAACAAGGAAAGGGAACAAAAATGTGAGATGCTATAGTCCTCATGACTTTGCTTTGTACCAAGATTTTTCTATACTTGCTACTTTATAATCTTACTGAAGTAGCATCTCAGGGCAGTTTCTGAGAAGGAAAGTGGTGGCTGGCCCTCATCCCTGCTGGACATCTCTTAGGGGTTTATGGTGGAAGCAGAAATCAGCCCCTGGAGTTGGAGTGGGCACTGCTTGTATTTTGAAATAGTCAAGGAAACTTGAGTTGAGAACTGAAAACCTATGCACTTAGCTGACTTATTACAGTCCCAAGTTAAAAATTAAAAGGGACTGGTGATAAACCCTTGACTCGTATGTCTCTTGGAATTCTAAATCTTTCACTCACTGCCTATAAAATAAACCAATTAATAAATTAAGGTCCTGGCAAAGAAGACACTCCCTGATCACTAGCCAAGAATTCCCCTAGGAAACTCTCCCCTGCTTTTCAAAGCATAAAATACTCAGGCTACCAAAGCAAACCTTGGGACAGGAATCACTAGGACAAGTGAGACAACACGTGAGCAAGAGGAGTGTGTCTAGAGCCCTCAATAGGCCAAACTTTAGAATGATGGATGGGGGCTTTCCTTGCCAGAGGCTCAACTACAGCCAGTGGCTATGACCTCCAGAAGTGCAGGGGGCAAAGAACATGCAGGTGCCCAAATTTTGTTGTTCCGCCCACAACTATGAGAATTCCTGTATGAAGATGCACAGAGGAAAGCTAGAAATCAAATGTGTCCTTTATTCCACCAAGTAGACATACCCATGAGCCACATGCTGCATCCTGTCTCAACAGGCTGTTGCAAGGTTTCCTGGGCCCAAGGCACATGACTACCTGGGCTCTGCTCTCCATAAAGACAGTGGTGGTGGGCAGAGGAGAGAGGCTGAATACTGAGGCAGAGACTCCCGGCACTGAAGGGGAATGGAGAGTGAGGAAGTGGAAGAGATACGATGGAAGAGGCATTGAGGGGCCTTGAAGGACCTAAGATGAGCATTTTCCACCCAGGCCTCCATGTCCACTGACAGCCACACCCAGGCTGTGGGCAGAGGTGAAGCTCCTACTGCCCACTGTGGTGCTGTATTCTTCTGGAGGTCCTTTTCTTTTTCCTGCTGTGGCTAAGGTCTGGGAGTAGGACTCATTTGTCAGAAGAAAGCAGAAGCCACTTGTTGGAGTCTCACATTTTTGGAAACAAGCTGTTTGAGGCTTCAGGAATAAGAGAGAGGGAAGTGGAGAGCAGGAGACAAGAGAGGAGACGAGAGAGGCCACCAGCCCAAGGTCAGAGGCTGGGAGCTATGTGCAATCAGGCAGAGAAGTGGTCAGTGGAATCGTGGGTAGGAGGCTGAGCTACTTTTGGGCTCAGTTGCCGCCAGAGATGGAAGAACTGAGGCAGAGGCAGCCAGCCACTTGCCTAGGAGAGAGAACTTATAGGCACCAAGTAACAAAGACTACCATGCAGAACTGCCACCTGCTACCCTGCAGCAGTCTCAGATGGTCTGTTCCAGACGGGGAGCAGGGCCTACTGCTGGGAGATCATGGTAAGTGCCCAGTCCAAGAAAGCCACTGTAATGTCCTGTAAGCAAAGCCAGGTCCAGTGGACAGCCTCACTGAGCTGTGTCTTCAGGCAGTCCCAGGTCACCTCACCTCTGGGAGGAAAGCAGAACATGTGTCGGGGTTGGGAAGTGGTGATACGTATTCACCTGTGTTAAGTGACTGGGCTGCAGTGCAGACCCACAACCCGCTCCCAGAGTGGCCAGGGGATGAGCAGGGGGCAGGACAGAGTAAGAGACTGAACAGGGAAGGCTTGTCCCTGGAGAAGGGCATGGGGCCACAGGGCTGGAGCCCTGGGTGGGGGTCTCACCTGCATGCCTTGTGGCAGTGCTCTTGCACCCGGGACAAGGCCTCAAGCAGCATGTGCCACATGGGCAGTAGGACATTCTGGTAAAGAAACAGGAGCAGCTCCCTCAGAGAATGGAGCAGCTGGTTCAGGGCATCGGGGAACTGGATCTGTAGCTGGACCGTGGAGAACAGAAGGGGTTAGAGGGCCCGGGAAATGCAGTCCATGTGGGGCTGCACCTTCCCAAGAACTCAACCCCTGGCGAAACCAGCCCTTCTCTGATCTGTCTCTGGCTTACCCTCTGGGAGAGGCTGGTGAGGCTGTCACCAAACCAGGCAAGGTGGGAGGCACAGTGGGCAGAAAGGAAGCTGACTGTGGCATTGGTGTGGGTCCAGGCCAGCCGTAAGCTGGGCCTCACCATGGTCAGCAGATGGGAGCCCCAGGCCGGCAATGTCTCCTCTAGCCAGCTGTAGGAGAAGACAGAAGAAAGGAGGTCTCTTGAGTTTCCCCATGCAGCCTGGCTCCCTAAGAATAGCTGGGGCAAGGGAGGCTTTGAGAAAGAAAACCATAATCACTTCCCACTGATTGTCAATGCTGTCACCACAGGAATATGCAAGCCTTCTCTCCCACCTGCCCCTCCTCTCCCTGGGAGGTGCTCACCTGTAGCCTTGCAGGCTGTAGGAGTAGATCCTCATACACGCTTGTTGGCCAGCAGGCAAAAAACCAGATGAGTGAAGCAACCAGCCAGAAAGGGAGGCTGAACAAAGGGAGTCTCAGATGAGCTGGGAGGTGAGGGGAACAGGGACTGGGGAGACAGATACTACAGGCACCAGAGCAGACCAAGTAAGGGATAGGGCAGAACTTAGTGTGCTTACGGGGCCACAGAGCTGGCTCCAGTCTGCTCGGGAGCACGCCTGGAGAGAGGGATGCAAGCCAGGGGAGCAGGAAGGGTGCAGCCAGGTGGAGCCCTGGACTGAGGTGTCAGGAAGCTTCGGGTTTGAGGGTCAGCCATTCTACTCACCAGGTGTGATCTTATGCTAACTGGTGAATCTTTCTGAGTCTCAACTTCCTCAGAGGTTAAAAAGGAGATAATATCTACTCAAATGAGACTGTGAATATGCAAGCATTTCTATACTGCAAAGCACTAGTCAGACCTGAACTGGTAATGTCATAGTTGTGGACAGAAAAACGTGTCTGAAAAGTGTTTGTCTCGTGGTGTATGCTGGGAGTGGGGAGTGCTACACCCAGCTCTGTATCCCCACAGAGGCCCCATGGAGAGCCCTGTGGTGTCTCCCTCGCCTGCCAATCCCTGCTCACCTTGGAAAGAGCTGTGTGACCGGAAGTCGTGGCACAGGAAACCTATGGCAAAGACCAGCACCAACAGGAGTAGCCGTGTCCAGGGCAGTCGGAAGCCCCGTGCCTGCTGCAACAGCCTCTAGAAGGAGAAAGGGTAGGGAGCAGCGGTCAGAAGGGAGAGGGGCTGGTCCCTGCCTCCTAAGACAGGCCTCAGGGTAGGCCTTCCAGGAAAAGGATCAGGCCCTCACATTGCCCCAGAGGTAGTAGGAGCTCCAGGGACAAGCAGGGCAGGAATGTGATACCGGCCCAGCCTAGGGTGTGCCGAGACAGATGCAGAACGGTGTGTTAGGGAGGGCTGCGCGCTGGCACCTTGCAGGCCATGTCACAGGTGGTGACCTCCTGGTTGCTGCAGCTGCCCTTCCTTAGCAGCTCCTGGTTGGTAAGCTTGAAGGACTGAATGGTTTCTTGCAAAGACTTCTGCGTCTATAGGACAAGAAAAGTCTGGGCTGAGAACATAAGATTTGGCCCGGGAGGAAACCCTGAGATTCCAGTCTGCTTCCTTTCCATGCCAGATGCGCTAACAGAGCACCTTCTCAGAAAGGGGGGGGGCCAGTGGCTGAGGGGTATGAACCCAGAACCCAGATGAGGCTCAGCCTGCCATGTCCTCCCAGCTCCTCACCTTCTTGGGAATCTGCTCCCAGGACCTGAGCAAGTGCTCCAGCAGCAGACTGTGGGAAAAGCACAACCCCTTCCAATCAGGGGGCCTGCTTGGCCCCTCCCACCCTCCTGCCCTCCACGAGACTCCCCACTCCTTCAGGCTGAAAGACTCCACATCCCACCCACAGAGGAGCTGCTCCCTAGAGGCCTCCCAGCAACGTTCCCACTAAACTTGAGAGGCATAAGCCTGAACAACAGTGACAAATGTTCCTCTTCTCCTCTAGGACAGGGACACACCAGGAAGTGTGAATTAAGGCCTCTTTGTGTGGCTAAGAGGCAGGTGACCCCCCTCACTGCCACCTGCCTGGACTGTGACAGATGTTTGGGGTACAGCTGCCTCCAGACGCTGGTGCTGAGGGGGTCCACCATCAGGCACTCAGTCAGGCTGCTCAGGAGCTGCACAGGGGACAGGAGAAGGGAGAGACTGCTGGGCATGGAGCTGGTGGCGGGGAGAGTACTGGGAGGCAATCCCCCTCTTTTAAGTGAGGCCACCCTGGTAACAAGTCCACCCTAAGGGATGAAGAAATTGTGCCCAGGCCCCAGAAACCTCCAAGAGGCTATAAAGGGGGAGGCTGGGGCTCCTGAGCTCAAAGTTCACTTGTCTGCAAGGGGCAGGACGTCAGAGACTGGTCAGACCTGAATGTGCTGTTTCAACTCCATCTAACTGAGGGCAGAGAGTGAGGTAGCAGGGCAGGCAGCTGTCAGGAGTGAGCTAAGGGGATGCCCTGGAAGTGGGCTCCCTGAAGCAGGGCCTTTGTCAGCATACAGGGACTGATGCAGCAGACTCCTGGGAAGGAAAAAGGAGCTCCCACCATTTCCTCACCTCTTTTTTCATCTCTGGAGGGCAGCTGGGAGTGGCTCTGGACAGGAAGGAGGGGAAGTAGGTATGCAGGGTGGATTCCGGCTTTGCTCCGAATGCCAGCACCTTGAGCCGTGGGTAGAGCTGACACAGCTGCTCCTGCAGGCTGTGGGGGGTTGAGAGCAGAGTCAGGCACAGGCTCTGAATGGACCTGTGCCCTGTATCCCTTCTGCCTGCCTCAGAGTCTGTATCCTGCCTGACAGGTGGGGAGTCACTAAGGACGTTGCAATAGTTCTGAATCTTTCTAGACCCACAGACTCCTTGGAAAATTTGCTTCGAGTCCTCTCCCCAGGAAAATGCCCATATGCCAATCACACTTAAGGGCCATATAATTGCAGGGGTTCCCTGGCCCCTTGAACTAGCAGGCTGATAATCTCAGACCTAGGGTGGCTGGAGGAGAAGGGATAGGACCATACTGTCTCCTACTAACCCTCTGCTGGGATCCTTCACAGCAGGTTGTGCCCCAGGGCAGTCCTACCTGGGAGTCAGGGAGTTGTTGGGCATATAGGCAAAGTCCAGAAGTGGGAAGAAGTCCTTGGGGCCAATCATGCCAAAGCCCTTGGTGAGGTTGGGGTGCATCCTATGGAGGAAGAAAGAAACAGGTTTACTAGGGACCACCTACCCAGACCACGGTCCCAGCTGAGAACATCATCTAGGAAAAAGGACATAAACTCTACCCCATTCCCCACCCCTTAAGGGCTCTCTCTCTTTCCTTCTTGACCATCACATCCTGAGTTGGAAGGAGCTGGTCTTGATTTTCCTCCTATCTAAGGAAACCAGGATCACAGCATCCCATTTTGCTGAAATAGCCACCTGCCAACACCCTGGGCCTTCCCCTTGCTGATCCGCACTTCTCCCTGCCCCTGGCCCTGCCATCACTCACAGGAGCAGCCGATCTAGGTAGGCAATGGCGAAAGGAGACAGAGACTTGATGCCCAGCACAGGCAGCATGATCCCCAGCCACACTGAAAAGGTCAGGGAGGAAGCCTCAGGATTGAATCCACTGGGGACATTAAAGAGGAGCTTTCTGGTTCCCAAACCATCCTTCTTTCTTCCCCACTTCCTCATTACCTTTCAGTCCCTCGGTGAGGTTCGCAAAACCTGCTTGACCCAGGGCCCACATGATGGTCAGACACTTCGCTGGTCGGCTCTGGTGGGACCTCAGCAGTTCCAGGAACTGAGGAGACCGGTGAGGGAGGCAGGATGGGAAAGGGCAAAGCACTAGGAGCATCCCGAAAGCCAGGGAGGAAGAGAGATGCCAGCTTGGAGAGAAGGGGTAGGCAGGACAGTGGAGCAGTACGGGAGTGTGGTGGAGTGACTCAGAGCACAGGCTCTGGCACCGCTGTGGCCTTCACCCATATTTTCCACTTACTAGTTGACCAACTCTAGGAAAGTTACTGAACCCCTCTGTGGCTCAATCTTCTCATCTATAAAACGGGAATAACAGCAGTACCTGCCTCATATATATACAAAGTAGATACAATAAGCGCTAACGGCGTTAGCTGTTATTACTGGTCTCAGAAGGTCTCCCACTACCCCTTAATTGGGTCTAACAGTGTAGATTCTTCCCAGCTTCCTCAGTCCCAGCCTCCTAATGTCCCCACAACAACCCTGAGCTCACCTTGCCCAGGTTCGTGGTGGCAATCTTGGGTTTGTCTTGCAGAATGGCCTGGATACAGATGCGGTAACCATGTAGTGACTCCCCTAGAGAGATGTATGTTCTCAGACCTACATCCCAAACTGTAGTCTCCCTTTTGGCAGCTGAGAGCCCAGAACTCAGGCCCAGGAAGTCCTAACTTCCTCCTCCCTTTCCCAGAGTATTGGAATTAGCATGTTTCTCTACTGGAAACAGAACCATCTAGCTACTCTGGAAGCAGGAAAAAGGGAGTAGGCTCCCAAGACGGGGCTGGGCTATTCCTCACAGGCCCCTCTCACCTGGTGTCTTATCCAGTTCTTGTAGCATGGTGAACAGACAGTGGTCAAAAAAGAGCTCCAGGCACCCTGCTGCCTTCGCCAGTAGCCCTCGGATGATCCCACGCAGCTCCCGGCTCACCAAGCTGTAGGGATAATCTGGGGCCGATAGGCCTCCCGTGAGTGCCATGACCTGGAGCCTCTGCCAGCTCTGAGAGCTCTCGTTTGCTCCCTGAGAACTGTAGGTGGAGGCACAGGTCATTGCACTGTGGCTGGCATCCTCCTTATTTCAATGAGGCCCAGAAACTTTCAAGCCATGATGATTTGACAATAGGCAAATCATCCATGTAAATCAAAGCAGTAGGGGACACTGGACTCAGTCACTAAGTGAAGTGCTTACATACAGCCCTTTCACAATTTTCTTGAACTTGTCTGAGCTTGAGGGAGTTGGGAGAACTGACCGTGAGTATGCTGGCTTAGTGTGGGTTCACTTGGAGGTACTTGGAGCTTGTAGTTGAGATAGCTGGCCAGGTCCTTCAACCACACGGATGGGTTCCCAGAGAACACGCTCTGGCTCTTGTCCAGTTCCCTCTGCAGAGCTGCCATGTCCAGCTGCCAGGAACACAGGCCCCTCATGGTGAATTGTGGGTGTACAGTAAAGGGGCAGAAGCGGGAAAATGGCTGAACTAGGTGGTGGTAGGAAGAACAAATGACTTCTATTTTTAAATGTAAGTATGTAGAATGCCAGATTTTAGAGACTAGGACAGGTGTACCTGCTGATCTCAAGGCCTAATATTGATGGACCCTTCACATTTTCAAGGGGAAAAATAGGAGGTAAGGTGGAAAATGAAAGATCACTCCTTCCGTGGTAGGAGGAACCACAAGGGTATATTTAAACTCTCTTTGGTATCCCTGGATTTTCAAGGCTCTCCTCTCACTAATCTGTTTCTCTATGAATTTATTTCTTTTCTATCCAGAGTGCAAACACTGTATCCCTTGGGGTTTCCATCCTCTCCTGAATGCCTCCTCTCAACCAGCAGTGTCCCACATTCCCCAGGCCCGTCCCCCTCCCGCTTCTTTCCCTTTCTCTACACCTCATGTTAACATTCTTTCCCTGCCTAAAGTCTAGGGCACACTCACAGCTTTCAGTGCCTCCTCCAGGCTGCGAAAGCGGCCTTGCTTCTGGTTCTGGTTGGCGAGGGTCGCTACCTTCTTAGTCTGTTTCTTGTTCCCCGGCTTTTTTAGGCTCCACAGCAGGGGGTGGAACCTGCTCCTTATTCTGCCGCTTCATGATTTTCTCAAAGCCCCGCTCGTACAGAGTGCTTGTCGTCTGGATTGGAGCTGGAGTGATGACAGGCAGAGAAAGGGGGCCTGCCTTGAGTCACGAGGGCCTCAGAGGAGCAGTGGTCCCTTCCCCTGAGGAGCCTGCCTCAAAGCCCCTTCTTGCTGTTCTGCTTAAGAAGCCGGGCAGGGAGCCCTCCTGGTTGATTCTTTCAATCATCACAGCTCTTGAGTTCATGGGCTTTCACAGAGATGAGGCATTTCTTCATTAGGAAATCAGAGTATGTGAGAACTGGAGGAGTTGGGCACAGAGGGCTGGCTACTTTGTTGGATGGCTACCAGTCTGGGAGATCAGGATTTTCCCGTCTTGGTTCTATCCCAATTCCTCTTGGTTCAGATGTGACAACTCTATAATCAACAAGTGGCAAGATTTCTCCACTCTTTCAGGATGCTTCGAGGAAAAAGGCACCACTTAGAAAAATACTTGGTGAATGTGGAGAGTGTGTGGTGGGTCATTTCTGTCGCTGCACGGCCTAGTGTGTCCCAGTCCTCATCCCCATCCCCGACCTGCTGGTTACTTATGGAGGGGACAACATGTAGGATGCACCAGGATGTCTCTCCCTAGCTTTCGGACACCTGCAAGGAGAGGCCAGGCTAGGACCTGGGAACAGCTGGTAGGGCGTGTGTACAGTCAGCTGAGCGTCCGAAGACCAGAATCCCGGATCCCTCCGATATATGATCCTGGGAAAGGCATCTAACTTCGGGGAGCCTCAGTTACTCATCTGCGAGGTAAGGACAGCGACCTACCTCGCGGCGTCTACCTCTTGAGAGGCTCAAGAGAGACAACGCCGGCGTAGTGCCGGCTCAACTGGGAGGTACCAAACGGCTGAAGAGCTCGCGCCTCGAGAAGCCCAGGGGTATTGTGACCCTCTGGGCTCCGGTGGCTGCTCGCTACAACCTGGGGGTGCAGGCCCGGGGCCGGCGGCGGGCCGGGTGGGTACTCACGGGTCAAGTCGTACTTCCACACTCCATTCGCCTCCCCGAGCGCCCGGCGGTCCCCTCCGCCGCCTTTACCACTGCCGCCGGCCCCAGGCCGCCGCCCCTTCTTCACTACCTCCCAGCGCCCCCCACCCGCCGTCCTGGCCGCCATGGCTCCGACCCTCCCGCCACAGCCACCTCCCTGGGCTTTCCCGTCCGGTTCGGACGCTCCACGCTCTGCCACGTCTCCTCGCAGGGCCTCTCGGCGCGTGACGCCACCCGCAAGGCAGCCTGGGACTTGTAGTCTTTCCGTGTTTGCAGGGTTCTGCCTAGCAAAGGGTCTGATGGGCGTTCGGGCTCCTTCGCAGCCAAAAACAGCCTGGCAAAGATGTTGAAATGAGAGGCTATTATGTTCAGAATACTTTTATTGAGCACCTACTGTGTGAAGACATTGATGACTCGGTGGAAATTTAACTGTTTCTGTTTTTCTTTCAGTTCTAGTTGTGCAAGGAGGATGGAATGAAAATAGTTCTCCTTACCTCCCAGGAGAGTCTGAAGAGTAAATACGTCCTTCCTTCTAGGAAAGTGCTAGTGTTTCTGTTGCTAGGAATTAACTTTGGGTATAATGGGCTATAAAAATCTATTGTGAAGGGTCAAGGAAGAGGATGGAGCTTGTGGGAATATGCAATGAGTGGAGGGCAGGAAGCTAGGAGTGGAGAGTAGGAAGCTAGGAGTGGAGAGTTCTTCTGATAGGAGGCAGAGAAAAGTCTGGGGGCCTGGGACAGTCAGGGCTGGGTTTCCCCTTCCAGGCAAGGTGAAAGAAGGGCTCTGACTGCCACCACAAGAGACAGTCCCAAGTCCCAGCTGTGACAGGGAATGATCAATCCTCAGCCCCAGACCTGAGGAACCACTCAAACAGGTTACTGCTTACACATTCACTATCTCTGGAGGGCCTTCCACCAGGCTTGTAGTATCATGTGAGTCCTCAAAACTTGAAGCATCCCAGTAGGAGAGGATGAGGGAAGGTGAACTGGAAGTGATTTATCACAGTTAAGGAAATGTGCTATTTCATGCACACGCCTACATTTGAATATGAGATTCATACCTGCCATACTGGGGACAAGACAGAGAAGTCCTTATAGTAAGAACTAGGAGTCCAATTTCCCCAGGATGAATAGCTTAGAGAGTAATGAATTCCTTAGGAAGGAGATTAGAGAAGGCTTCCTGAAGGAGATGGCATCTGAGATGGGTCTTGAGGAATTTTCATTGGTTGGGGATCAGGACAAGTGGAGAGAACAAGCCAGTTGTATGGATTTATTGGTTTAAGATAAGGCCTAGAGATGGGACCCAGCAGGGCAAGGCTGGGAGAGTGGAAGTAGTTCAATGTGACAGTGCTTAATGGACTTTGGAGGTGATGAGGTTGGAAAGGGATCTGAGCCCCATATGTCATGGGCCTTGCTTGCCAATTTCAAACTTTATCCTCTAGACCCTGGGAAGCCAGTAGGAAATTGGCATGATCCACTTTTGGAAAGGTAAATGGGGATATATGAAGGATGAGTTGGGGTGGGGAAAAGATAGGAGGTGGGAGATAATAGCTCTTGCTTCTTCCTGCCTTCCCTCCAGCTCCTTCAGACCTGATCATAGCTGATTTTGCTTCAGGTAGCTCTGAGATGGAGTGCTTTTGCCAAGGACCATACCTGAGCTGATCATTAATCAGTTCATTTTTTTCAGATCATTGATTTAGCTCTACTCTGACAATATCCCCTTTGTTCTACCTCCTCTGTGTCACATGAATGGCTACAGAAAAGGCACTGTTTTTGGAAGAGAAACAGAACAGGCTTTCCATAGACACAAAGGAGAGTATTCCATGGTGGAGATATATAGAAGGGTGGGGAGGGGCTTTATTTCTATCGTTCCTTAGAATGGTCTGGTAGCTCATCTGTTGGAACTTGGCATGTAGGGGCTAGAAGTCATTCACTTACTTATCCAGCAGCATTTCCTAAGCACTTTCTCTACTTAAGCGCCTAGCACAGTGCTAGGTGGAGCTAGAAGACACACCTCACTTGCTTGAGAGGAACTCAAAGTCTGTGTGGGAGACAAATGTGTAAACAGAAAATTACAGTTCACTATCCCAAGTGTTCCAGAGGTTGGGGAGGAGGCAGCGGCTTTACATCCCTGAGCTCTGGGTGTTCGAAGAGCAGCCTAGCCATGGAAGTGGGCTTGGGCAGGTACTTACAGGGTTTGAGGGAACAGTCAAAAGACTGGATCAAGGAGGATGGCTGCGTGTCTAGTGTGGGGGCAAGAAGAAGAGTGAGCATACTGAAGCAGTTTGACCCACTCTATTAGTTTCCTGTTGTTGCTGTAACAAATTGCCACAAACTTAGTGGTTTAAAACAACACACACTTATTATCTTCCAGTTCTGAAAGGCAGAAGTCTGTCAGGGTCTCACTGGGCTAAAATACCATATCTGCAGGGCAGTGGTCCTTCGTGGAGGCTCTCAGGGAGAATATTTCCCTGTCTTTCCCAGCATCTAGAGGCTGACCGAATTCCTTTGCTCATAGCTCCCTTCTGTCTTCAAAACCAGCAACAGCGGGTCAAGTCCTCCTCACACTGCATCACTCTGACCTCCTGCCCCACCCCCACACCCATTTTATGGACCCTTGCAGTTAAGTTGGGCCCACCTGGATAATCCAGGATACTCTCCCTATTTTCAGGTCAATTGATAAGCAACTTAATTCCATCTGCTCCTTTATTTCCCTTTGCCAGCTAACCTAACATAGCCAGAGGTTCCAGGGATTGTGATGTGGACATCTCTGAGGTCTCAGCTGGAAGATGAACATTGGGCAACGCAGAACAACTACCTTATCCTTTGACTTTACCTGGAGTAATGGAGGAAAAACCTTTTAAAATTAGGCACAGGAATTAAAAATCATAAAGATAAATAAAAGCAGGCAAGGAACTTGGAGGAGAAAAATAGAAGAAGGCCAGAAGTCTCTGTATGTGGGGGTGAGAGTCAAACGGAGAAAGTGAAGTGAATGAGGAATGAACACGCATAGTTTACTTATTTCAGGCTTATAACTGGAGTCATTGGAGAAATGGTGGCAGTCTGGAAGGAGGGTCATGGGGCAGGGCCACGGAAGAAACACAACTCCCATGGTATCTTGGTCACACTCAGGACGGCAAGGAAACATCTACCTGAAGCTAGAGGAACATTCTGGGGGTCACACCTCTATGGTATTAGGGGATGAGCCCTGAACGATGAATCAGGAGGACTGAATTCTAGTCCTGGTTTTTACCACCTCGAGTGAGCCATGTCGCATGCAGGTCTCAGTCCCCTCATCAGTAAATGAGGAGCTGGTCTATATGGCAACCAAGGCTCTGTTTGAATGGGCCTGGTACCACATTGATTTCAGCGCCCTCGTTCCCTGTTGGGCCTCCAGGACATTGGTTATGATGGTGCTTGGCCAGGGCACCCACCAGGAACGCAGGCCTGTGTGAATGTGACAGAGTTCCCCGCTGCTGGTTCCCATTAGAGCCTGTTCTGTAGAAGGAACCCCTTGGACATTGCTGTCCTTCTGGGCTTTGGTGCTTAGAGCTGCTTGCTCTTTGTAACCCACTCAGCTCTGTCACATGAGCCCTTGCCCCCATCTGGATCACTGTTGTGGGGTGTGTGAGCTTCGACAAGGGTGGGGGACAATATGCAGTCTTACCAGCCCAAAGGAGACTGAAATGCAGCACCTTTCAGTCAGGTCCCCCATTACCCCAGAGCTGCCCATCATCACGGCCATGGCCTTGAACTTCATTCCTCTTCAGGGACTGGGGGTCGGGGTCCCTGTGCCTTCTCTAAGAGGCCTGGCAGCAGTGTTGGGAGATGGGGACCAGGTCGGAGCTTGGCTCTGAGGTGAAGCCAGTGGTGGTTTCTGGGCCAGAGGGAGGACGGCAGTGGTGCTGAGCTCCACGGCCATCACCTCTGAAGAGGCGGCTGCTCAGGAGGAAAGCACTGAGACCAGGCTGTGGCTCAGTTGAGGGAGACATGGCATGGACTTTTACCACACAAGTTTATTTAAATAAAAGTGAACACATATGCAGGCTGGGTGGCCCGAGGGGCAGGGGTTGGGGAGGCGGGCAGAGAGGAGGCAGACATACAGGAAGGTCCAGGCAGAGTCTGTGTGGTATGAACCAAGCTGCAGGGGGAGTAGCTGGGGGCCTCGGGGCAGTGCTGGGCTTCGGTGCTGGGGGCAGGGGCCAAGGGTGGGTGAGCCTGGTGCCAGGAGGTCGTTTTCATCCCTCGCACGCTCCCCTCCCTCTCCCTGACCACCGGGGCCTAAGGTACCCCCTCCTCAGTCCCCCATCCCTCTCCTGACATCATCGGCCTTCCCCTCAACTACTGGGAAGTCAAAAGACAAAATAAATAAGAATCGGTGAGTCCTGCCATGGCCCTGGCAACGGGGAAGGGAAGCCAAGCCAGGCACGCTGCCCTGGAGCCCGTGCTGTCAGCCCTGGGAAAAGAACAGGTAAAGTGCAAGGAAAATCCAGTAAGTAAAAATATACCAATGACTTTGTCAAATATACAGCTGCTGGCTGTCAGGGGAGCAGGCGGCTGGCTGGGGTGGGTGGCAGTGGCACCCTGGGAAGTGTTGGCCGACACAGCATAAAGACAACGGAAATAAATAGGGGTGGGGAGTGGGCAGGGGTCCCGCCCACTGGGCCTGTGCCACAGGAGGAGGGGCCTCTGCCTGCTCACCTGCCCCGTCCCCCTAAGCCCTGCTCGCCAGGCTCCCGAAAGCTGCGGCACTGACAGAAAGCACCCGGCCGACTGGCTGTCAGGAAAGGATTATAATGTGGGGGTGGGAGCGGGGTGGGGAGGCACGGAAAGCCGTGCAGTCAGCCAGGGCTGGAGCTGCCCTCAGTACTCGTCCTGGTCTTCCTGTTGGTGTTCCTCAATCTCATCGTCCTCAGGGGGTGCGAATCCTTCCTGGAGGGTGGGAAGGGAGAGAAGTGGTGAGCCGGCCTGCAGGCTGAGGGTATGGACTCCTATAGGCAGCTTGGGGGCCAGGGTCTGAGTTCTAGTCCTGCTCCCCCTGCTCACGCTCTACGTGACCTCGGACTGGTGACTTCAGCTCGCTGCCCTCCTCAGCCCACATTCTCCAAGGCTCCTTCCGGGCCCACCCCTTCAGGTCTTGGGGCTGGGCGGGATGGGGAAAGCCCCAGCAGGTGCTGGCAGATCTTAC